GAGCTCAAGACGCTCACTGCACCTCCACACGTCCCTGATTCCAATCTGATCGAGCATCTGTTGGCTGCACAATAAAAACAAACCACGGAGGCCCAACCAGGACTTAAAGGATCTGCTGCTAACGTCCTGGTGCCTGATACCACGGGGAGCTTTCACAGGTCTTATGAAACTCAGGCCTCAATGGATCAAAGCGGTTTTTGGCGGCACAAGGGGGGGCTTCACAATATTAGAAGGGTGATTTTAAGTGATCGGTGTAATGTTGACAGCGTGTTCCTGTCTGATGATTCACGCAGTGAAACAACAACATCACTGGTCTGGATTCAAACGCTGCCTGACATCGCGTCTGACAGCAGAGCGAGACGGGGAGGTGAGACGAAACACTGCAAATGTATGCAGCAGGAAAAGAAGCAGAGAGAACAGAGCCAGGAAAAGAAATAACTTACTGACGAAACTGTGTGAAAAAGCTTCACCTCAGCTTGACTTTGGTTTTGTTCAGGCGAAGACAGCGAACTGTCACGATGATTATGCTGTCAGGTGTCCAGACATCAAGGAAATGAGATTCCTAATGCCATCAAACAGGAAGCTCAAGCCATGGGCAGGATAATAATGTGATTTTTGATTAGTTCTTCACGGGAGTTTCAGTGTGCAGTGACCGAGCACCTCCAGCAGGTCTTTGGTGCATTAACACGACATTCTGTGGCGGCTGATGGAGATGCAGTCTCCTGAGGTGACACCAGCTACGACCGGGATGTGACCTCTGACAAACAACAACCCAGGACTTTCACATTAGGAGTCCTCCGTTTAAATGTTAATGGAAAACACGCCAGGAAGTGTTGAGTAGGAAAACAAGACACAACTAAGAATTGATTGGTTGGAGGAAAACAATTAATGCTGCGACGTACACATCATGTGGAATTCAACTCGTAAACTGTTGCTGCACCGCTAACGTTCCTGCTACCTGACCTTTGCTTGTTTGTGCTGCTTGCAGTTTCAGAATGGATGCTCTAAAGACTCTGGTGAATGCAGGCAGGCTTAAAATAGCCCCAGCATTCAGTCCGGTCCACTGCAGTGAATTTGTCATTTGATATATTGTGGTGTCATCCGAAAAAGGCTCTCAATTCAGGTGATGAACGGCTGCAATACCCCGGCCTGGCTACCTATTTCCCTACAGACCTTCCCAACGGCCAGCGGGTGAGAGTTGACTGCACTGGCACATCTAAGAGGACATGCTGGATTAATTTCTGTCCTGCCGCTCAGACATGGCCCCAGGTGTTCCTGGAGATGTGGGAGCATTGCCAGGAACTGTGTGCCGAAAGTGCATCATCAGACATGTATGAGGTGCCAAAAAGGCCAGTGTGCCAATAACCTGCAGCGACGGGAAATTGAACAGACTGAACCTTGTTATCATTAGTTATGTTAAGAACTCGCTTTAACCCTGTGAACTCCGAAACTGTCTGGCGGGTTTCAAAGGCATGTTGTCTTTAAAAATAAAAAAAATAAAAACCTGCCACAGATACACCATTTATCTGAACCAGAAACTATAGAAACGGAAAGAATCCTCAGATTTGTACCTTCCTGATGCTCTGTGATGGTCCCCATCCTTGGAAATGTTATGATACGATAATTTATCAAAATTACTTCATTCTACATTAATTATCTAGAAATTTGGCAAAAATACAGATTATTTACCCCAAACAGATTATGTTAAAACAATAAAACAGACAACTGGATCTTTTTTGTTGCTGTCACACGGAAAAAATACAGACTGGTCCGCTGAAGTCGGCTAAACTTCAGGCAGTAATCGAGGAAATTCAATCTATGTTTTTTATGATTTATGGCATTTTAACAGCATCATACAGCAGAAAAGATAGTTTTAGTTAGTTTAGGTAATTAGTTTTGTCTGCTTCTCGCCTCTATCGAGGTGATGGACTTAATACAGCAGTGAAAAATGAACGCTCGAGGTTGGGAGGGCTGATAGAAGAGCTAATGACGCTGAAAAGGTATTCAGAAATCTCGCTTAAAGTAGAGAAGCGCTGAGTAATTTGCTGTTTCTAATGAAGGTCTTTTGAGGTGCTGTGGTAAATAGCAGAACTAAAAAATAAAGTTAAATAAGCTGCACAAATTGTATTAAAAAAACATGTTTATTGATGAAAAAGAAGAAGAAGAAGAAGAAGAAGAAGAAGGAGGGATGTAACGGGGGAGGTTTGGCTTTTCAGCAGCTGGAAGTGGATGACTCATGACTTAAAGGGCAGAACGAGCGCAATTCAGCGCCGAATGCAAAATTGCTTACTTATCAAAAAGCAATTTCTGGAGGACAGTGGAGTGTATAGTTTGTGTACAGCCGGTGCTCCTATAGGAGGCTGCGCGAGGAAGAAATGTCACGTTTGAAACGAGGGCTGCTCGCGTGTTACGGGCTCAAACCAAACAGAAGAGACTCACGTGCAAGGATGCTGTGAAAAATAAAAAGCTCTAATCGTGTACGACAATCTATCAAATGATAATGTGAACATAAGAGGACAGATGTGAGTTGCTCAGCCACCTTTAAGGGGTTTATGGTTTTGTACGAAGAACAAAAGAAAGAACACCATAAGGTTACCTATACGATAAAACCCAGACGTTCTGATGCGACGTTCCTGTGATTGGACGTTCTTCTGCAGCAGAATGTGGATGTGGGCCTTTGTGCGCGCCTCTATTTTCTCATGGCATAACTGGCCCATTAGAGTCACCCTGATGCACCACATATATTTGCTACTCATAACAGGAAGAATATGCCCCGATTGACCGTGCATATTTCTGTGACAATTGTTTTCACAGCGATTGTTCCAGTCTATTTTGGAATTCTGCGTTTTGTCTTTGGAGTTTAATCCACCTCAATAAGGACAAAGAAGGAAGAGATTTTCATTCAGCGATTTTCAAACAATCCAGGCCCCTTGGGCGTGTTTCTCCAGACCGTCTGCTCGCGAATAAGAATTTAAAAAAAAAAAAAGGCTGTGAAGTTGCAGGCTGAAGTCAAAACATGAAAAAAACAAAGCTTGTTTTATTTGCCTGTAGCGTGAGTTGTAAACCCTCAGACACGTTGACATTTCATACATAAAGAACGTAATTATTCAGCCTGAGGAGGGAACTTGTTGTAATGCCGTCGCTGATGTATGTTCTGTGGTGGGAATCTGCTTCTTCTAATTCGAAAAATCTAATTAAAGAGGATTTTCAAAGCTTAGCGTGAAGCTGGGATCAAAACAACACACCTGTAATTTAAACCAAATGCTGTAGATGTAAATGAAACCATATGATGCAAATCCACCGTATTTAATTACACCTTAAATTCCCTCTTGCGGGCTGCAGCATGAGGAGATGGTAGAGAAACGTGTTGCTGTCAGCCAGCCAGCCCGCTCACTTTGTCTGATATCACCGTGCGACTTGAACATATTGCGACATACATTTTAATTGCGGTGTGTGTCGATGTGTGTGTGTGTGTGCGTGTGGGGTACCACTTACAGACTACTCATTTGTTTGGAATGCACATAAATTCTTGACTTTACTGTAGGGGCACAGCTGGCCGAGCGATTAATGTACCAACAAAAACCCAGAGCCGAGACAATATGAAGTTCAGTGTGTGAAGAACCAGGCCTCCAAAGAACCAGAACCAGCTTGTAAATTCCTGGAGGAAGACCCGAATGAAACTGCGGTAACGAGCTCACAGTGTGCACACGCTGAGCGTAGAGGTAGAAAAAAACAAAACAAAAAACAAAACTCTTACCCGCTTCCTTTAAACGTTTTTCATCTGGCAGCTTGTTTGCACAAAGCGCTGTGAGTAAATAAAGGTTCTATAGTGTCTGAAGGCCCAGCGTGACTCAGTGCAGCACAGATCCACTACTCCCCACGCTAAAGCCAAAACTTTACAGGCAGCTCGACATTGAATTTAAGAAAAACAAATCCATGCAATATGCTGTTTTTAGTCCACCTTAACTAACTCATTATACTGCTTCTATATGTCTGTATTTTACCAGCACTCATATCACAAAGAGGAATTCAACAGAATGCACAATGCAAATTAATTACTGCAGAAGAAACGCTCTCAGAATATCAGGAAAGCTTAGATTTGAATGTTTAAGGAAGGAAACTTATCTCCCATACACAATGATATGCAACGAAAGTAGAACAAGTTTTTTCCTCAACTCACATTTTCGATTGTGTCAGTGTAATCTGACCCTTACCATTTTTTTCTAAGTACCTGCCGTGAGTCCGTTTCTTTATCTGTTCTCGATGCACTTTTGCTGAAGCTGCAGCCACAGCCTCTCTAACGGCGCTCTAAGAGGTTCTGTGTAGATCTCATGTTTAACCAGTGTCTACGAGTTCCCAAATGGATTCAGCTCATGTGATTAAGGGGGGCCGAGTCACTATCGAGTCATCTTTGCTGGTAAGACGAGCAGCAGAGCACCGCCTTTTTCAGTGTTGCGGGCTTCTTCCACTGCTTGAAGGAAGCAGTTTTCAGTGGATTTCAGTGGAAGCTTCAACCTGTGGATCTCACTCAGCGGTGGTTTCAGCCTTCTTCACCTCGGCCACGTCTCTGAGCGTTTGACATCTTCTATTTCTGGACACTTGGGCTAAGTTCTGCATCTGGTGGCAGTGGAGGATAAAGGCTTCCTGGTAGCTTCACGTTAAATGTTTCTCAAGTCTTTTGCATTTAATTTGTCCGTTCTTTCTCTGTGCTTGTTCTGTTGACTGCTCACAGCAGCGTTTGATTGTCACGACTTCAACAGTTTAGATGTTTAGTTTCCTGATTTATTTACATTCAGCTAAAAGGCATTTAAGCATTTTTGACTTTTCAGTGCCACATCCTTCATTACACAAATAATTCATCCACTATGCATTTAAGTTTATATGATTTAGAGCTGGAAAATGTGCATAAAAATTACAGTAAGGTCAGAATACTTACCTACCTAACACCTGTGCGTGCAGTTTTAGTATGACATGTGGGACAAACAGTGGAGATTCTGTACCTGCTCCATCCAGAGGGTGAAGGAGCGCTGCCACGAGTCCTTCTTCTCTAGATGCAGGTACGTGTTGAAGAGGATGAGGTAAACGTAGCGCTCCAGATACTGCAGGCTCCTCAGCAGCAGCTGCTGACAGTCCTTCTCCGTCTTACCGCTTTTGATCTGAGAAAAGAGGCGAACAAAGGTTTTAAAAAGTGTCTAAAGTTTCTACATTTGTGCTGCGTACAGAACCAGAAGCTGGGCAGGAGTACTGGCCCGTTTGTCTTCTACTGCAGAGGATTCAGCATCACTAATTGCCTCCTCTATGAATGCTGTGTTTGCAGAATCAGAGTTTCTTGGCATTTAAGCGGCGCTGATAGCGTTTAGACGTCTGTTTCTTGTGTTTGTGTGGCGGTTGTTTAGGGTTGAGAGGATTCAGGGACGTCCCAAACAAACGTTCTCACACTTCATATAAATCTAACTGAGATTTTTAGCTTTTACCTCAAAAAATGTCAATAATAGATCATCAAGAGGGGCCACAAATCAGAGGTAATCATGACCCACAAAGTATCACACAGACAGACACACTGGTCCAGCAGAACAAAGGAAATGACAGCAGCAGTTACAGTGACTTTCTTCAGCTTATATAACTTTATCATTCCTGTGTTCCTCCTACACTCCCCCGTCCCACCGTCTGCCTGCACCAGCTTTATTTCCGCATAGCGCCGACATCATATTGTTTATCTTGGTCTCCCTCGGGCCACCAGCTCCACCGACAGAGTGCGCGTCCTCTACAGGCCACGCACGGCAGCGTTTTGCGAGCTACGCATCGATAGGTTTGACCGATGCAATTACAAGAAAACTCAGAGACAGAAACAAAGAAAAACTCTCACAGCAGGGCCACAGAAAAACTGAGCTGCTAAATGTACAAGAGAGGCGACACCAGAGTGAACTACTTTCGACTTGTTAAAGTGAATTTGCATGAATCTTTTCTTCAAGTTGAGCCTTGACGCAGGACATCTGAGGGAACACAGAGCTCTGGAAGTGGATGTAGCTTATTATCACCGCGTTAAACAAGCAGCTTTTAACGAACCCCCCGTCGAAGCAGAAAACTCTCCACTAGATCATGTGTTTTTAGACGGTTATGAGACAGTCAGTGGTACAAACACGTCTCGTGAATGAACTATGAAAACAGCATTATTGGGACACGATGTCAAAGAGTGCGGCACAGTAGCAATTAAATTAATTAGTGCTAGCATCTCCAGCAGAAGCCACCAGACTTCTAGCGCTTCCTGTTTCACAAAAACACGTCGATAATGGTTTTATTTATCCAGTTTAATTCCCTCAATCCCAAACCTGCTGGAGGCTTTTGAAGGTATTTTATCTTTAAAAAACAACATCACCAAAATGACACCCTGCAACCATGTGATGCTCCCTGAATGGATCATCTCTGACAGAAATCAAATCTATTCTCATTTACGGCGTTACAACTTTGTTCAGAAGATGTTTTTGAGTTCTTTCTGCCTCTAACCACGGTGCTGCTGTTTCCACTCATGTGCAGGACTTTATATTGCAGTGAAAAAATAACCCTTAGTGAGTAGAAATGTGACAGGAGCTGACAAAAAAAATGCTAAAAAGTGCTGCTCCACAAAATGCGGAGGTGGGCTGAGTCACTCGATCCTCTGAAATGTTATGACGTGCAGGTTTACATGAGGCATTATGCTCCGTATAAACCCGGCCAAGTGCAGAAAAACACAAACTGTGACATCCGTTGAAACTGCGTTCAGGTGAACTACATCTGTCCGGCTCATTCATACTTGCACTTCTCTCGCAGCAAACAACCAAACCACCCACTCGCTCAACCTTAAAGGACCTTCCACTACCTTGTGATTTAAACAACACGATCACAGTCATCTGAGCAGCGAAGAAAAGTTTGTGTTTAGGCGGCATCCAGCTGTGACACAGCTGCCAGGGCACACCATCCTCCTGTGACTTATTCCTTCAGGACACCCATCAAGGAAAGCTGCCACCAAACATACAGTACCAGCCCTGATACAACCTGCTATTCAGCCAGGTTGTTTAGCCCCGGTGCTTCACCAGACCTCCACTGTTTTAAAATAAACACTGTAATTACGTCGTTGTCCTTGTGATAATTACTAAATAATTCAAATGTTCACTGCAATACCCTATGGTCAGCAGCGCCAGAGGAGTGCCATTATCCAGAGCATGAGATGCTCCTGTAATTCCCCTGAGACAAGATAATAGTACTTTCACAGGACTAATTCACCGTCTACTGGAGGGAGGAGGGGGGAAAAAAACCCGCTGGACACAAGAATGAAGTGTGCACACTTTGCTCATGTAATTAGCTTTATGCTCTTAACTAATCCTTCTACAGACAAATGCATCTACAACAGGCGAAGAGAGCCGAACTCGGTCCACTTCTCAGGTTGGTGATCGAGCTGCTCCTCGATTACAGGTTGTGAGGAAGGTGAAGGCAGACGAGCTCTCATCAGCGCCTCCAGTGAGTGACGTGTGATCAAGATGTTTTCCCTTTTTTTTTTCTCTCCTCTTCTTTAGAGCCTTGAGCTCTTCCAGGCACCAAGTGACAAGGTCTGCCATCCAGCTGTGTGTCAGTGTGGCGGCCTGGATAACATGTCGATGAAGAGGAAAGTCGACGTGGGGACGAGGTGCAGCGAGGCGCTTTCCTGCAGCAGAATTTTTTCTTTCTGTTTTCCATCAGCGAAACAGTTAAAACGCTGTCGGCTCGCTGCACAGGGCTGCACGGAGAATAATGAAGATTTACTAAGTAGGTGGGCTGGTGCTCGGGGTAATTTGAAATGTGCACAGCGCACCATAATACAATCATTCCAGAGCTGAATGACGCAGCAGAGAGAGAGAGAGAGCAAGAGCGAGGGGGGATGAATGGGGTTTCCTGTCCATTCCCAAACAGCTGCGGTCGGATCCCAGTTTTCCAGCATCTGCAGCAGAGTGGAGTCAGAAACTACACCTATAGGCAAACAATGGATGTGCTGTCTGTTGTCCATCGGCGCTCAGAGGAAGAAACACTAAACACACACACACACCTCGCTTTCCTCAAGTTTAAATCAACTCCACTGGAAGCGCAGGTGAACGCTGGTGAACCCGATCACCCTGTGCACCCTGCACCCCCAGGGGGCTTCCAGCGTTTCATTTCTGAGCCTGAAAATCCACAGTGCCAAAGTCTGGCAGATATCCACGCGCAAGCCAGCACACACTGTAACACACACACACACACACACACATGAGAGAGATCAGCTTACAAAGATTACATAATTCACACCTCTACAATCTGCTGAACCCGAACTCCGTGGCTGCCATCTGTCTGTCTGCATCGACCCAGCCATATGTGCGGTCGAGCTGCACTCTCACAAAGTCCTTCAGAAAACAATGTTGGGTAAGCTGAGGTAAAGAAAGGGAGTCAATGTCTTCCAGTCCACGTGAAGGAAGCAGCCTTGAAAGCTTTCGATTTCTGTGTTTTACACTTCAGCTGTGTGACATTCCTGCTAACGAACCACTGCTCAGCATTTTGTTTCAACAGACCTGAAACTATGATTGTTTGCTTTGTTAAGATGAAAATTACCATCGTTTCCAAGAAGAAGAACAAAAGTTTTCTACTGAGTTGGTGAAGTAAAGGGCAGGCAAAGAGAGGTGAGAACTGCAGCATCCTCTCATCTGGCCTTGACTGGTGGTCAGTCCTCGTTCACAATCAAAGGAGAAAGCCGTAATTCAGGCGGCCCCAGAGGCGTGATAATGAACATCCTGAGCGAGAAGGGAGACGGGCCAAACACATACCATTGTCGAGAGAGTCCAGGAATGCTGGATGGAGCAGAGCTCTGAGCGGGGACGACGTGGAAGTGGGTAAGAAACGTTATCGCTGCACCAACACGAGTGAGAGCGGAGGCAGCCTAAACCTGGAGGAACCTCATCGATGGACGGTACTGCAGATTAAAAATGCTTCACTGGTTGATGCTAACGTCCAGGTTGGAATCTTTTTACACAACATGTGCTGCATGAGCTACATGCATCATTAATACACACATATAGAAAATAATAAGGTTAAACTCTACCAGTGCATCGAACATTTTTTGCCTTTTGGCCGATTAAACTGGTCTGTCAGTGTCCACACCATACGTTTGCCTGAGCAGCTTACATCTTAGGAGAGTGACACTTAATGTAAATGTAGTTCTGTCGTACCACCATACACCAGTTAACACAATACTTTGCTTGTAAATGTGTATTTAAGACGAGCCGGTGATGCTAAGTTTAGCTTTGTAACAAGACTGAAAGCGGAGGAGAACTGCTAGCCTGGATCTGCTGAAGTGGAAAAAGGCTGCCTGCTAATGCTACACCTCTGAAGGTTTTTATTTATCTGTTTAAAACAAGAGAAGACAACAAGTTTAACAATCTGAACTCAAAGTAATTTCTGGGTGTTTTTTTCTCATGTCACATCTTTACTCACTGTGAGGCTCGTTTCTACTGCAACACAAAGTCCTGCAGTTTAGCAAAGTTATGATCAGTGAGCAACACAACACAGTGGTGTCACCTGTACTAAAACAAATCTGTGATGCTACCGTCTGTAGATGTTACACTACTTACATTTAAAAATATTTTTGCATATTCGTCTTCTACGAGGTGCGTCAGAAAAGTTCCAGGACTGGTGTCACAAAAGATAGATTTCAAACCCAAACTGGGAGTTTTCCCCTTCAGATGATCAAGCAGCACGTCTACAAAGAGGTCCTGCAGCGTTTGCTTCCTTCAGAGAAGAGGCAGAGTTGTGTCAGGACCAGTGGAGGCTGCTTCACCATGACAACCTGCTCACAATGTCCTGAGCATCCCACAGTTCCTGGCTGAGAAGAACATCTCCGTGCTGGAGCAACCTCCCTACTCACCCCACCTGGATTCCCCAAGCTCAAGGGGGTCATCAAGGAGACCCGTTTAGAAGACGTGGACGACATCAAGATGGCTGTGATGATGGAGCAGCAGAGGAGGATCCTTCCAGGAGTGCATGGCGGCGTGAAGAGGAGGCTGGAGGAGTGGTTGGACTCCAGGAGGATTACTACGAAGGGGAAAGCTAGTTGTTGTGAAACTTTTCTGACACACCTTTTGTTTTCTTTGTGTAACCACAGCCTGCAGTTCAATCCCGT